TTCGCGTGGTTGGCCCCAAAGTTCGTGAAAGGCCGGGGTGCGCTGAGGGGAGCAGCCCCGGTACCGCCTCAGAGCTCCGTAAAACCTTCGCGGGGAGGTAAAAAAACCGCATCGGTGGGAGAAGGACGTCGGGTTGGCTTCTCGACAGGCTGTTTTCTGAAGCGCCCCTCGGGCACAGCTTACGGGGCTCTGGGAGAGCTCAGGCGGGGCTGCTGAAGCTGCCCACCGGCAGCGGTGCTCTCTGCAGGGGACGGACAGCCAGAGCAGATCGGCAGGGAAGTTATGCCAAAGGGGACCTTCATGCGACCTAAGGGTTGTTGTTTTTTTTTCTCCTGAGCCCTAAGGTGTCAGCAAAACAAACGACGCCTGTACAGCGTTTTTGACGAAACAGCGGCGTTAGGTTGGTTGTTGAGAAACAATGTGAAACCAAATCGTTCCTGCCTCGTGCAGCAGGGCTGGTTTCTCATTAAGCTGGTTTTATGCTCTCATAATGAGTACCAGAGCTCTCTTTCCACTGGGTGCTCTTGGCATGGACCACTGATTCTCTGCAGCCACTGGGCGGTGGCTCTTGGTCTGATGTTGGGAGTCTTGGGAATGGATTTTCTGGGGGAAAACCCTTTTGCTTTGGCAGGAAAGAGTTGCAGTACCTACTGCTGTAGTCCGTGTGAGCAGGTACTCCAGTGCCTTACTGAAGGACGGGTTTGGTTGTGAGCTCTGCTTGTTTGCCACATTGAATCCAAGGTGGAGTAACTGTTGTTGCATGTTTTAATCCAGTAGCTGGGTCTGTGTTTAACTGGGGCTTGTAAGGCCCATCAAAATAAGGTGCTGGGTCAAAACCATTTCCGCATCATGGAACTGCAGCATTAGCAAGTGGCCTTTGCATGAATAAGGAGAGAAATTGGATTAAATGAGTGGTTTAAAAAGGATGGTGAAGGTGTCAGGGAGTGTTCTTAAAGCCAACATAAGGCAAGATGGAAAAGTTTTGATTATGGGAAAAAGAAACTAGATTCTTCACAACTTGCTGCATGACTTGCAGGTTTTTTTCTGGAATTTTTCTTCAACTGAATTGTACAGGGACAGCCCAGAGGAAAGTCACACTCGTGCGCTCACTGGGGCATATTGAAATGAAAATGGCTTCAGGAGCAGATACAGTGTTTGGAAATTATTTTCAACAAAACCCTCAGTAATGCTCTCATTCCCTTTGCCCGCAGAACATGATTCAGTTTTCTCTTTAATGGGCTTGATTATTTGATGCATGGGTTTTTGGGCCTAAGATGAATTGCTAGTACTGATAACCCTTTTCCTCTGCTTCATTTCAAAATACTTGGCCTGTTTTTTTGTTACCGCTGAGAAACCCAATAAACTCACACTCACAGAGTGTAACAAATCTCTCAAATCATTGATACTTTTTTAATGATCTTCCTGTTTCTGGATAGAACTTTAAAAATACACCTTGGCTGACTTAAGGCACCTTCTATAGATTAGCAAGGAGTTATGAAATTAATGGTGTAAAAAAAAAAAAAAAGGTAATTTTATTAAAGTGGGAAAGGAGAACTTCTTCAAGGAAGTATTTTTGTCTTGAAAGATAAAGCTTAAGACAAAGAATGTGCTGAACTTTTAAGGCTGGTCCTAATGCTGGTTTACTGCCTTTTTTTTTTTTTTTTAAATGGACTTGCTGATTTTCCTAAACTATCAGAATTACCACTAATCAGGTGCACATGCCAGCATTTTATGTTGGCACTGAATTTCATAGGAGTTCTTGTTTCAGAACACTAATGTTTCTGATAACAAGTTACTAGCTTTGTGTTATGCAATAAGTGTAAATTAATTTTTTTCAAAATGCATCTAGATTTTATGGTTGCAAAAGATGAACTTGAGCCAGTGTTTTCAAATCACTGAACCACTTCTGTTATTGCTCTGGAATTTGTTGTTTTACTTGAGCAATGTTTTAGAAAAATGAGCGTATCAAACCAAGTAACTTGGGCTGCCTGTCAGAAAGGTTATAAATATTTACAAAATGCTTGTATCTTGGCCCAAAAGGAGGTGACCTATGGAGTAATTATATTCTGGATATCCCTGTCAGAGAGCATTGTGCTATCTTGGTTTCACAGTCAATAGACTCCTTGTTTTGAAAATATATACTTGGTGAGTCTGTCTCAACTAATTTATTTTTATATATATATTTTTTTAATGAATACGCTGTAGAAACAAGACTTTGGGCTTTTTGTTTCTCCACAGAAAATGTGTGATATGTCCTTCCGGTTTTTCTTCTGCTACTGAAGTTTAAGAAAAGTTCTGTTAAAGTTGATGTTATTTTTGGGCCCGTGGCTTTTCCTCCAAAATGTGAAATACAAAATGATGCAGGAAGAGAAACTCTGGGACTTGTCATAAGCTTTTTGTTACAACCCTCTTTCATAGATAATATAGAGGGTTTTAGAAATGTCTGGGCTGAATGTAAGAAATACTTTGTTTAGAATCAAAACTGGCACAGGCTGCCCAGAGAGGGTGTGGGGTCTCCTTCTCTGGAGACTTTCCAAATCCGCCTGGACGCGTTCCTGGATGGCCCTGCTCTGGCAGGAGGGGCTGGACTGGGTGATCCTTTGAGGTCCCTTCCCACCCCCAAGGTGCTGTGGTGCTGTGAATCGCTGATGTGCTTCATTTTGCTAACTCTGTTTTCTTCCTTCGTTGATGCTTTGAATTACTCTTGCTATTTTTCAAGTTTAAAGTGCTGAGATACCAAGAGGGCAGTTGAATTAGACTTGTTCTGCGAATGAATTTGTCAAAAAAAAAAAATGCCCCAAACCCTTGGTGCAAATCGCTTTAAGGTACGTCCTTCGTGAAGGTAAAAACGAAGTGCGAGGCAGCCGTAGGGGGGTGAGGAAAGGCCAGGCTCGGGTGGGATGAGGATTAAATAACCAGGTGGGTCTTGTGTTGGGAGCTGCTGGGTTGCACCGAGCGCTGGTGAAGCCCTTCTTGGCAGCAGGAGGGGTGTTGGGAAAGGGGCAGGAGGTGCGTCAGGTTGGCGGGTAGGACTTTGCCCTGATGTGCAGCAGCTCTCCTGCTTCTGTTCTCTGTTCTCCTCTCTTCCACTCTGTTTTTAGCCCGTGGAAGTTTTTCTCTTGTCCTGTTTGTGGTCCAACAGATGTAAAAAGTATTTTTTTTACCTGTATGGGCACCGTGCAGTTGCAGTGACAGCTTGACAGCTTCATTCTCTGTGCTGTAAAAGCTGTGGTAGATCGAAGTAAGTTAGACTGTTTTGTCATGAAACCTGATTTAAAAACAAAAACTGTTTTTGTTCAGCTGTGATCCTTTTTTAACCGCTTCTCTGGGCTCTTAACAGTGTCAGTAAGCAGTGCATTCGTTAAGGATGACATTAGAGGGGGTCTCAAAATGGGTATTTCGAATGAAGGATGTGATGAACAAGTACAGGAAAACCATTCCTGGAGCAAAACTCTTGATAATTCCCTGCGCCAGAGCTTGGTCTGTCTTCTGAAATATTGAACTGCTGCTGCTTTTTTCATTTGAAAATTGTCTGCCTGTCCTAACTGGGTATTCTCATCCATATAAGTGACTTCCTGTCTCCCAGCCTACCTAATTATTTTCACCTCATTACTTTGTGGCAAAAAGACCCGTTGGTTGCAGCACGAGGTGAAGTGCCTGTCCCCGTTGGCTCAGAAGTTGTAATTAAAATGTCTGTGGGTGAGCGGGCGGCTGGAGCAGGGTTCGGCCGAGCTGCCTGGGCTGGAACCTGCCTCCTCGTTGGAGGGCTCCACGAGAGCGGTGCTGGGAAGGGACACATCCTGAAGGAGGGCTGGGCAGTGAAGGCTTTACCCTGAGCCGTGCTGCCTGGGCTCGGGTGGCTCAGATGCCGTTTAGAAGTAATGAGTGAACTGCTTCAGGGAGCCTGCGCTGGGGGTTGGGTGCTGGTGTCGGTGGTGAGCGGTGAAATCGGTCCAGAGTAGCCTCACGGGTATTTTGTTGTAATTAGAGAGTCGTTTGCCTTTGGGAGCATTGCTGGTGGTGACTCCTGTAACGGTGTGTTGGAAGAATCTGCAGAGATGATGGCTCTGGAGAAGTTGTCTTGAGCTGTTCTGAGCTCGGGTCTAAATCTGCAGGGCTGCCCCTTGCACAAGACTGGAACTGCCTTGTTGTTCCCTAATTCAAGTTTTTACTCGCCTGTAGACTTTGCCAGTTGTAATTGGCTTTCGAAGCAGAACCATGCTCTGACGGATGGCATGATGGAAAAAAGAGGCTATTACATCTTTACCAAATTTTCTAGAATTCCTTGGTAAAATCAAGTTTATGAATTTTAAAGTTCTGTGTCTGAATTGAGTTTGGTGCTGTATTGAGAGTATATGGTCAGATAACACAGCTGTTAGCTGTGGAATGTCATGCTACCCACGTAGCTGTTAAAATTTATAATGAATTTCCGTTATTTAGTAATAAAAGGTACTAAATGGCTTGTATGGTATGGTTGGCCTGTTTTCTGGATCTCTAAGTACATTAAAAGTAGTACATTATGTGTCTTTTATTCCTTATGCCCCATTATCTAGTGGTTTTGACTTCAGCAAACCTGGAAAACAGAGCTGAAAATTAGACGCAAATATCTTGTCACTGTTGTCGTCAGAGTGTGTTTGTTTAAGCTCATGAGAACTACCTCGTGGCACCCCGTTTGAGGGGGTTTCTGTCACACGTGTGGCTTCTCATCTCTAAATGCTGTGTGGAACCAATACCAGATGTTCAAGGCAACCTTACTGCAGCTGGAAGAGGGATAAGAAGTTGAAGCTAATAAAAGCAGAAAAAGAACCTTTCAGCATAGGAATGCTGGATTTTTAGAGAAGTCCCTGAGGCTTGCAGAGTTACTGCCTTATTCCCTGGATAAGCAGCAGAGAGGCAGGAGTGGCACTGAGGAGAAGGCAGCGGTGCAGCCTCTAGCCCGGAGCTGCTGAGCTCTGGAGCTCCCAGAGCTGCCGGAGGTGGAAAGGCTCTCGGGCACCCGCGGCCCTTCCCAGGCAGGGAGGCTGCGGGCTTGGCCTGCGGGCGCTTCAAACCTGCGTCCCGCGGTGCGTGGCTTGACCTTCAGCGCTTCGGCGTGTCCGTCCTCCTGCCTGACCCTCGTGAGGAGTGAGCTGCTGCTGCCAGCGCCGGAGGACGGCGGTTTGTGGTGCGGTACCTTGGCGGCGCTGCTTGGCTTCTGGCATGGTTCCTGAAGCAGCCTTAAAGTTCCCCTCTGGGCAAGCCATCGAAAACACTCCTTGTTTTGCTTGTTTGGTTGTCTGTTCTCTCAGGAAGGCGGTGTGGGCGGTGGGGGTTTGTGTGCGCTTGGGTCTTGTTTGTTTGTGGGTTTGGGCTTTTTTTGACATGCCATAGCAAACTTTTGCGTTGCATGATTCTTTTCTAAAACCAAATGCTGTTACACCTCTTTTTTTTTTTTTTTTTTTTTTGACAGGTCCCTTGTAGTTGTCCACTTCTGGGCACCGTGGGCTCCTCAGTGTGCTCAGATGAACGAGGTTATGGCGGCGCTAGCGAAGGAACACACGCAGGTTACCTTTGTGAAGGTAAGTCGGGCGGCCGAGCTCCTTTTAGACGCAGCAGAGCCGTTGTTGCAAAGCACGGATGAAATATTATGAAATGTGGGTAAAGTTGTTTCTGAAGTGCCTTTGTGTCTTCGCGTTTAAAGACGCGAGTTGAACGTATGCAAGAGATGCGGCAAAACTCTGCGGGGTGAAAGCTCTAGGCGCACCTTTCCAAGCCTGTTACTGCAGACTTAAATAACGCCTTCCTTTTTCTGTGCTGTTTAAAGGGAAAAAACCAACAAAAAAACCAGAAGCAAGCTCAGTTTACTAAGACAGTGGAGGACTTTTCTTCAGCTACTCTGCCTAACAAATTCCTCTCTGCCTGTGTGTCTCAGTCCTTCAGTTCTGTACGTAGCCGTATTTTGAAAGCGTGGTTCAAATCCCTGGATTTGAGATGAATTTGGCAGCACTGTCCAGGTGCACCGGAGGCTTCTTTTGTTCCCGTGATGCCACTGGTTAGCTGAACAGATCTCAGAACACACAGAGATTTTTGCTTTGGTACTAAAGATGGACAGGGATCTTCGTGGAGTTAAAGGGCAGTGAATTCCAATCTGTGCAGCGCTGTTGCTCCGAGATGGGTGAACACTGGGTGGGGTGAACACGGTGAGATGCTCTGTTTTTGTGAGAGTAGGAGAGCCAGTGTGGAGGGAAGAATGAATGCACTTCCTCACTGTGCTGTTCGCTTTAAACCAGCTTTCTCTTGTTAATGAGTCACTCTGTGATGAGGAGGGCAGGGAGCGATGGAGCAGCCAGCTGTGTGAATAGTCTGGTTTGATTTTTTTACAGCCTTTGGGTTTTGTGTGGTTTTTTCTGTTTTTCCCCGATGATTCCTCTCTCGGTTGGTATTTCTTTCTGTAAAGCAGGAGGACAGAACTGTTTTAATGGTAGTATTTTATTACTCAGAGCTTCAAAGGACTAATTTTCAGCACTTTAAAAATTCAAGACTCTTAAGGTTCTGTAGAGTTGCTGTAGGTTTTGGTAGGCCCAACAAAGTTTGAAAACTCTCGGTTCCCTCTTTATTATTCATATTCACACAGTATTTGTTTATAACCCTTATTATTCAGCTGCAACTTATGTTTTTAATAACAAGGTTCTGAAGTGATCAGGTGTTGCAGAACCAAGGTAATGGCACCTCCTTCCCCCCACCCCTCTCCTCCAGTATTGCTGGTGTGCTTTTCAGAGGCAATAGGCTCCGGAAAGACTTGGGTGAATTTTCTTGATGTATTTTTAATGGGGAGGCTCCTCCTGAGGAACATATTTGATTTTGGAAGTTCTTTGGGGGGTTTTGGTGTTTGGTATTCCACACCAGCCAGTCTGGCTATTCATGGGCCAGAAGCTGTTAAGTCGTCAGGTGGCTGCAGATGACTGACCAAGGGTGGTGTGCCACCCTGCAGCTCGGTCACAGTTGCCTTCTGGAGGAGAGCAAAGTGCTGATGAAGTGAACTTCAGACCTGTCACTAACCCTTGAAGTCTTTGGGCATGTGGTTTCTTGCTGTAGTTGTGGCATAGCGTAACTCTTAAGATCCTTGGCTTGGTTAGAATGAAAGTGTGTCTGTATTCAGAAACAGTGAGAAACGATGGTTTGGGAAGTTGTACGAGTAAGAGGAAGTTACTGAAATATGAAATAAAATCTGTTCTGTATGTGTGAACCTCACCAGAGTGGAATGTAATTATCCGAGTAGGTAGGAAATTTTACTGGAAAAGAAAATATTAGAGGTAGAAGTCGTGTAATCACTTGCCACTTGAAAGAGAACGGGCAGTTGGGATCTGGTTACAGCTTCAGTTTCTCAGTTGGTGTTGTTGGAGCATTGGTTTACAGAAATAGAGGTGAGGCTTGGACTCAGCTTTGGCTCGTCCGCTCACTGAGTGCTCGTGGGATAAGCAGTTGAAAGGCTTTTTCTCCTGCCCGCTGGATTGCAGGTTTCTGGGTGATCCAGAGATCTCTCGCCATTTTTTTAACCCATTAACTCTGCAGTTGTTGCAGAGCTAGTGTCTTAAACAACCTTCTGTTGCACAAGCTTCTAGCCTATGCACAGAAAATCACAGATTTGAGTTAATTAAAAGATAGATTTTCGTGGCAAATTACTGCCTTATATCATTCTAAGGTATGCAGTTGAGTGCTGAATAAAACTAGAGCCGGTAATCTCAGCAAGCTTGCCCACTCGGTGCTCAGTAGCCTTGCAGGAGTTAAAAATAACATTTAGTAGACATCAATAGCTTATTGAAGAAACACTCCTTTTTCCTTCCTAATTTGCGGGAGGCTGCAAATGTCAGTCATGATGTACTGCCCCTTGAAATTAGTCAATAGAGCAAATAGCAAGCATTGCTGTGGGCACAAAATAAGCACTGTAATCATGACATAACTGGGGTCAATGATTTATGGATTTCAATATAGTAGTAGCTGCATATGATTGAAAATTTACTAGGTCACTAGTGCACCAAAAATTTTATTGGCAGCCTCCGGGCATCTTTTGAAATGTGCAACAAAATAAAAACCTCTGAACCTGTTTTGACACTGTGTAGGCTCAGTGGATGACACGCCAACCCAGCGAGTCTCATTTAAATGCAAATATGTTACAAACTTCGGCACCAAATCCTTTTAAAATGTATAAAATGCCTAGAAGAACATTCTGGACAGGATTGACATCCACAGTGAAACTTGAAAGAAGATTATGAAAATAATCTTTTCTCTGTTTGTGTGTGTTTGGGTTTGTTTTTTTCTTTTTAGCTGGAAGCTGAAGCTGTGCCTGAAGTGTCTGAAAAATATGGCATTAGCTCTGTTCCAACGTTCTTGTTCTTTAAGGTAAGAGAAAATGGATTCCATGTGGACTCTTACTATGTATAGGTTTTTAATGCTACTACCAGAAGAGCAGAACCTTGAGAATTTTCTCAGTGACGAAACACTTTTGTATCTGATTTAAGTCTTATCCAGTGGCACCTAAGAAAGTGGACAGAAAGGGTTCTTACACTCTGTATGTAATATTTCAGAGCTTCCTTAATTGCTTTGGGATTCCTACGTAGTTTTTATTTTAGTTGCCAGACCTTGTATCGGGTCAGGCATTTTTCAGTACGTTTCCTTGTCTGGCTGTAGTTCTACCGCATGGCCAAAGCCCAAGTAAATAATCTTTTGGCAGAAATGACAGGTCTCTTTGGGTCACGTTTGCCTGTGATAATAAAATTCAAAATATTGTCTTTAACAAACACTTCTAATAACAAAAACGCTAGCATTAACGCCAGCCAGCCAACAGGATGGTACAAGTTGTGGAACTGACGACTGGCTGGAAGATCAATCGCTAATCCGCCTGCATCTGCAGATCTATACTTTGTACGGGGGGGTTACTATTTTTTTTTTACAGTACAAATTCTGAATTTAATCCTTTAACACGAGCCTGTGTTTTGGGTTCCTTAGAATTCCCAGAAAATTGACAGATTAGACGGTGCCCACGCCCCGGAGCTGACCAAGAAGGTGCAGCGCCACGCGTCCAGCAGTTCTGTGTCTGCCGGCCCCAACGACGGCGCCAAAGAAGACCTGAACGCGCGGCTGAAGAAGCTCGTCACCGCCGCCCCTTGCATGCTGTTCATGAAGGGGTCTCCAAGAGAGCCTCGCTGTGGTAAGGGTGGTCTGAAGGTCGTGTTCCGCGTGGCAGCGCTTGCTTTGGGCTGAGGGGTCAGATTTAGTCGGTTTTGGGGAGATAAAGCTCCAACAGCGTCTTGTGCACCTAGAAACGTTACTGTAGGTGTTTTCATGCTGCTGATGTGCAGCTGGAGAATGGCTGTTCCCTCAGTTAAATCTTGGAAATGGAAGCACAGAGGTTGGGGGCTTCCTGAAGAATAGGTGGTGTGCGATGCTGCCCTTGACCTAGGCTGCTGTTCTGGAGGCAGCTCAGGGTGTATTCAGGACATGTGTTGTGCATCAAGTTGCAAAACGTGAAGTAGTCTGAAGAGAGTATTTCAATTCCAGGAATAACAAGCATTGACTAACATCTGGGATCACTGTTGCTGTTTGGAAAAAGCAAATAAAACTATCCTAGCTGGTAAAAGTGACAGAGCAGTGGCTTGTGTTGCTGCTCCAGTGGAAACGCCTGTTCTTAAACCTAGTGCTCTTGCCTCTCGCTCGCTGTTGAGAGTGAAAATACAAGGGGCAAAACACAGCGTGGAAAAACAGCCATTCCTCATCTCCAGAGCCTCTCTTGGAAAGGGAGGACCGAAACAGTGTTGTTCTGGGGATGGTGACAATAAGATACAATTATACAGCTCTCAAACTGAGGGGAGGGAAAGGCAATGGGGGAAACAGGAGCTTGACTCCTTTTACTTCCTTTCTCTCCCCAAATTGGTCTAGAAATCAAGCATTGCAACTCCTACAGCTGCTTTTCTGCAGTAGCTGATGCTGAGATGACTCGGGCTGGATCCCATTAGCAACCATGTGTCCTGTGAGGCAGATCGTATCAAGGACACTGCTGGGACAGAGAGATGGAGGAATTGTGAAACAGAACAGGAGGATAAGAAAAGACTTGACAATAGCTAGCTCCTTACAGCCAGGCTGCTGAAGGAAGGCCTGTGGCTTGTATTTACAGAACCAATAATGAGATAACTCATCAAAAAGTGAAACTGTCCTGCAAATCCTGGTTATTTGTGTCTGTAAATAATGAAAATACCGGTTTTATCCATCTGCAAGAATGACAGTAGCATGTGCAGGCTTGAAAGATTCCTCATAAACATTTCTATATCATGGCAGAGATGCACGTGAATTAAATGTGTTTGAAACACTTCGAGAAGGGAAATGAGGACTCGTGGAACTATTATTTTTGACCCCCTTCTGGTAAGGGCTCCGTAGGTGCAGCCTAGAGCCAGCAGTGCTGCTCATGTCTGGCCCGGGGGCTGCGAGTGCGTGGTTTGAGCTGCTGGCTCGGGGTGATGGTTTAGGGGTGCTGGTTCCCCAAACGGCCAGGTGCCCTCGTGGGGGGGGGTGTGCTGCTGGTGTTCCAGCCGTGGGGAATCTCACCGCGGTTTGAAGTGTTAAATGCAGTTAACGAGCGCAGGCTGCTCCCTGGGCTGTCCATGGGAGCGTGTCCAGAAGCTTCCAGAAGAAGCCGAGTGGAGACCTATATAAAGGAAAATAAATGAAATAGTATAAAAGGACCTAAAAGAAACTGATTTTACATGTTCTGTCCATTTGTCTTAATCTGGGAGGATTCACATAGTTGTATCACCACGTGCTGTTAGAAGGGGGGAAAAGGAAGGATAACGATGTGGAATGTGTTGATTTGGTGAAGTGTGAACAGTGCAGATTGGTGCAAACAGCCTCTGCTGGTTTTTACTGTGTCTGTTGTGCAGTTCTGGGGTTGAAACGGAGGATGGGGTCCGTAGAGTAAACAAGAGCCTCTTCATGAACCTCCGGTGGTTTCGGGTCAGGACCGGCGCTTGGCAAACGAGGGAGCTGAGCAGGGTGGTAACAGCGGTGGGGCTGCTGGGGGGCGGCCCGGGCTGAGCTGCAGGGAGAGGCTCTGCTTCGGGCGGGACAGTCTGTCTGTGGGGCGCTCTGCTTGGAGTAGCGCCTGCCGCCCTGCTCCGGAAGGAGGGCTCTGGAGTGAAAGGCGCGAAACAGTATTTGGAAGGGGAGCAGTGGTTAAAGCCTGTCGGGGGTTGGACAGGAGCAGGGCTTAAAGCCTGTCGGACGTGGGTGTCAGTCAGGGCCGTGCTGTAGTGGGTAATCCTGCCGGGGCAGTCGGAGGGGTCCCGCAGGTCGCTCCAGGGTACCTCGGGTGGAGGAAGCTCTTGCTTATGGCTTGTGGGCGGCTTTTCTGACTGCCGCTGCCCTCCGTACCTGGGTGTACTGCCAGCGGCTTTGAAAATATTTGCCTGCCATTTTACAGTCTGCTTTTTCAGATCTTCTGGAAAAGGGCTGTAGAAATAGGAGGGGAAGTGCAGGATCCTGTAGGTACTGGGGCTCCCCACGCTGCGGTGGGCTTTGCCCGTATCGGTATCTGCACACCCTTTTTTCTCCTTCTTTTTCCCTTTCTAATTTCGAGGCTGCTGTTCCATGTCAATGCATCAAGAGGTTCCAGAATCACTTCAGTAGAAGCGGTTTCAGAAGCAACACCAGATTTCAGAGCTTTCCTGTTTGCTGTGCTGTGTTAGCTTGGGAGCCGAGCAGTTTGTGCGTAGGCACTTGCTCCTGTGAAGAGCTGATGAAGTTCCATCTATTTGTGTAAAGATAATTCTGTATTTGTGTTATGTAAGAGTACAGTAATAAATGTGCGAGAGTTACGGGTAGTCAGAGGAATTTGTAGGTAATTTTGTAGGAATAGAAATGTTGTCTTTTTCTGAAGGAGGCTCGTGAAGTGCATCCATTGGTACGTCCTGTAATACCTGTAGGTGGCAGAGCAGTGCTCTGAGCTCCTAATATTTATGAATGCATTTGGGGTGTCTGCAGTTGAGGTTCTTCAATACATGTGCTTTCAGTTTACCTGCCTTGGGTGTTCAGCAGAGCTGGCTTTCAGAAGGGCGTGGAGCAGAACACTGGGCAGACCTTCAAGTTACGTGGAGAAAAGACCTTTCACAGTTTCTCACGTGTTTGAATTTTTGATGGGAGAGACTGTGAGGCTATTTAAAAAAAAAAAAAAAACAAAACCCAAACAAAACAACAACCAAAAACCCCCCAAACCAAGAGAGATGTTGGGGCGTCGGGGTTAAGGATAGCTAGGTACTTCATCGTAAAATCGGTATGGAAAGCGTCTTCACAGGTTCATTTATGTTTCTTAGCATGATAAAGTAGGTAGTTCTTCAGACTTTCAGTTCTTAGAGTTGATCCTTGGTACCCCATGAAAGGCACACAGGAGGCTCTTACCTAAGTAGAGGTTTGTATTAAAGTTGGAAGTACTCAAATGCAGGGCACCACATGACGTCACCTGAAGTGACAGCTCTGAATTCTGCAGTTAAATACTGTGCCTGCTTCGGACTGCCCTGACAGCGGCTGGCAGTAGCTGGGAGATGTTAGCCAGTCCGTTAACTGCCTCGAGCGGCCAAAGGCTCGTGGAAGGTGAAGGTGACTGAACGTGTTGTCAGACGTTACCACAGCTCTGTTAGAGCGTGGTGGGAGCAATAAAAATGGGATTAAAGAAAAGGAGCCGTGCTGGTGTGAAGGCGTTTTTGAATTGTATCTGTTTTGGTACAAATAGTAGACGCAGTTGGCAAGGAGAGGGACCCCAGTCCAGCCGTGTGTTTCGGGGTCCCCGTGTGGTTGGGGGTTTCTTCCCTGGCCCAGCCAGCTCAGCGTAGCGTACGGTAGGGTTTGTTCACTGGCGGTTGTGCTGTGCGATTGCAGCGGATTCTTTTGGACTGGGATAGTATTTGTTGGTTTGCTTCATCAATACTGGGATTTACTGAGGGTGTTTTTGTTGGTGTGGAGTCTGGGGTGGCGTTTGCGATCGCCTAGATAGCCACTTAAAACATTTTGTTAGCAGCTTTATTCCTTGTAAGGCATATATGGCATTTCTTCAGAAATGCAACCTAAATCTCTTGTTATGAAAGTAAAGCTGTTCTGGCGCTTTATCCCTAAGCATAACACTTCCCAACTGCTACTGTAGCCCTTCAAAATGAAACACAACCAATCAATCTTTCTAGTTTGCATGTAATTGCCTTCAGCTAAAATAAAGCTTTTTTTTTTTTTCCCCAGTTCCTTACAGTAGAAATGAGTTAATATATTGGTGATGGAATAACCATCAGCAATCAGCCTGTAGCTGTTTACTAATGAACTCCCAGATGGATGAAAAATTTCAGAATCTGTGTTTTACTTCAGGCTGTACATGAACTTAACACTTCAGTTGTAGAAAGAAAAGCAACTTGGATGCCATACGTATAAATACTGCTACTTCATATCTCCATAAATTGCAGATCATGAAAACGGCAGAAAGCTGGAGTAAAAAGCCATATTTCAAAAACTAATAGGTGGTCTTGCAAGCTGAAATCAAAGGTTATTCTTCTATGGCACTTTGGTTCTTTTTCCCATTTAAGGCTTCTTTATTTTTGTATTCCTTTATTAAAGCCTTTAAGCATTGTCTCTTTTTTTTGTCTCTTTTTTTTTTTTTTTAATACTTGGGTAGAGGTTTTTGTTTGGCTGCACAGCGTTTGTGGGAATTGGTGGGATTGCAAGGGCGCTTGAATCCAAACCAGAACGAGTTGGCGAAGAAATAAACCACACGTTATTATCACGTTGATTTACGAGCAGGTTCTCCTGGATCCTTTTTGCAAACTGCATGGTATCTTGGAGGCTTCTGCTCCCTCAGAAGGGGTGTGTGTGCAGGCGACGGGGGCAGGAGCTGAAATACTTCAGGGTAACGACCACGCGTTAGAGAAGCAGCAGAATTCCAAACTGGTTTCGGTGCGTTGCGATGCGCTTCGCGTTTTGCCCCGATTCGCCTCATTTTCGGAGCATTAGGTTGTGGAGAAACAGTGGAGTTTGGAGTCAAGCTTTGACCACCGGTCCGGAAGATCAAGCTGTTGGCTTCCAGCAGACGAGCAGAGCTCATCGGTTTTTGTGTGGGGTGGAGATCTGCAGTGCACTGGGAAACACCCAGGGGGCTGGGGGCTGCTTGGAGACCCATCTGTGCTGCTGTGTCAGAGGATGAAGATGACTCTGAACATCAGTCTAAGGTTTCCTTTCGGGTCAGCCCGTAAAGAATGGACGTGTGGACATAAAGGGTACAGCCTAGGTGTGGGTGGTGCTTTGTAAAGTGATTTTGAAGAGTTTCTGTAGAGACTAAGAACTTAAAAAAGAAAAAATCATCTTTTTAAAAAATCAATTGGATGTTTCACTGTAATGAGCATGGTGAATTTAAAATAGAGTAGAAGGAGAATTGTTTGAAAGTGAAATTTCGTGTGGGTTTTGCTCTAGTGTAAGGAGATTTAGGTGATTACAGACTGTAGGTTCTATAACATTAACATTTTCACACACACAACATTTTACAAAGAAGGCGACAATTTTCCTACGAAAAGAGATGCTTAGTTACAGAAGGGAGAAACTTTTCTTCTTGGGTTGGCCACATAGTAAATGGGTAAAACCTGGCTGTTTACATCGTAATATTGTGGACATGATGAAGATCTGTCCAAAACATGGTATGAAAGTCATGAGGGTAGTGAAATAATATTTAAGTACCCGTGTGAACATAAAGGGTTTAAAGAAATGGAAAGGAATCTGCCTTTTGCCATGAAGTAGGAAAGGATGTGCTGTTAAAGCAAAAGTAGTAGAAAACATGATGACAGCCAAGTTTCTCAGTTAAACTAGTGACACAGTAGCGGGTTTCAATCCTGTGTGTGGATTTACACATACTTTGTCTGTGAACTTCATCGGTGTTTGGTGTAGGAGATGCTCAGTAGGAGCTGGAGGAAGAGGTGGTGGTTGGAGGAAGCGATGTGCTGTCGGAGGAACGAAGAGGCTGCTGAAGGTGCTGCTGTGGTTGTTGAGAAGCTTTCATTCTTTGTGAATGCTCGATGAAGAAGAGCTGGAAAAGAGAGAGCAGGGGAATGTGTTTAACTTGTGCAACTGTGTGTGCTGGAACAGGAGAGCCGTTTACAGGAAGGTTACTTATGTGGAGCTCTCTAAATGCAAGCACCAGACTTCCCGAGCTGCTCATATACTTTGGTTTGGTACTTCCACTAACACATGTGGGGTTTGCCGCTTTATCATGTTTGAAGGCATTGATAGAGCAAAGACTAACACACTAGAGCTGTTTTGAACTTCCTATCCAGAGTAATTGCACTTTTCCAATGAGTGGGGTTGGGTATGGACGTGGGAATGCTCTGCTTGGAGTTGTATGTCATTCCTCTTCTTGTGTTCGCAGGTTTCAGCAAGCAAATGGTGGAGATCCTGAACAAACATGGTATTTCATTTAGCAGTTTTGATATCTTTTCTGATGAAGAGGTTCGTCAGGGGCTGAAAACGTATTCTAATTGGCCAACTTATCCACAGCTGTATGTAGACGGAGAGCTTATAGGTGGACTTGATATTATCAAGGTTAGAAACTGAGAAATTCTTCATCTCATTAGTTGCCAGAAGCACGTTTCTCTTGCTTGATGCATCTGATTGTTCTTCTCCCCGATCTCCGTAGGAACTTGAGGCCTCTGGAGAACTGGACACGATCTGTCCGAAGGCACAGAGGTTGGAGGACAGGTATGATGTCGTTATTTTAAGGGGGTCTGTTTTTGAAGTTTCCTGTACGTTTGTTTGAACCGGGGGAGCCCCCTGTTTAAATTCCTGTGCTTTGACTTTGTCAGAAGTGCGTCAGGATTTTCTTTAATTACCAGACTCCTGCAGTTGTTAAGTGTGTTCCCTTTGCTGTACGTAAGCATTGCTTACTGTGCAGCTGTGCTCTTAGCTGGGTATCAAGCTATGCTGTTCCAGTAGGCTTTACTTAACTGTATTTGTGGTTTGTTAATTTTTAATTATAGCAGGATATATAGATTCCTTCTTGTGTCTCTCTTAGGAATTTATTCTTTAAAGATAACTGGGAAAATCATCTTTTAAATATTAGTAGCTTTTGTTAGCTTCATTTGGCGTAGACTTCATAACCGTGATGTCACTGCAGAAAATCCCTAGGCTCGCCTCCTCGTTTTTCTTCCTTACTCATGTCCTGCGGTTCCTGTTTTCTTTCACCTTGGCAACACAGATATACGCTGCAGCAGTGGGAAGTGTGCTGCTTCCTGAGTCGGATGCAATATCTAGAAACCGATTTGTCCTCCTTTAACCTCCCCGTTTGAAGATTCGCTCTTGTTTGAAATCCTGACGTGCCCCGGGCAGTCGAGCCCCAGATACCTGACAAGTCATTCCATCTGAGAAGCTGCTAGTGGATGGGGCTGCTTTTCCCTGGTTTTCATGCGAGCAGTGCCAGTAAGACATGCAAAGGGGGGCTGGTTTGCCAAGAAAGTGCCTGTACCTTGAAGGCACATTGTTAGTGTAGATTCCCTCTTGCTCTCCGAGGCCGGTAAAAGCAAGCTTTGCAGTGCTCTAGATGTGGGGGGTTCTGGTTCTGTTGCCTTCCCAGCACAGTGGAGAAGTAGTTCAACGCAAGCTGTTCTGGTGTGGTGATGAAGTCTGCGTTGGCAGCTCTGGTTTTGTTAATTCCCTTCCCGTTTGTCCCGTGGCTGAGGCTGTAGCAGGGTAACGCGTACGTTCTTTCACCAAGGGCACCAAAGCCAATCATGGCCTTTTGCAGTTTGGGATTAAATTACAGCTAAAGGTGAGATTGTCTCAGGATGGCCTTTTAAAAACTTATTTTAAAGTTTCCTTTAGTCTCTCCTTTCCTTTTTTGCAAACTTGCATAAGCTGCAACTTTATTTTGTTTATGCATGGTTTTTTTGGGAAAGAACGTGATGGGAAGTGTCCTCTGCTTACCTAATGTGCTTTAATGGATTAAAGTCGTTGGTATAGCTAAATGTCTCCCTAAAGGAGCAGGAGCAGAATCTTTTGAACAGGTGTGTGGAGTTTTTATCAATTTTATCAGGTTAGCTGAATATAATAGAAGTTATATTATATATAAATATTTTATA